GATATTTCCAGTTCATTAATTAAGATTATTTCGTTCTTGTGTGGAGTTCTTGTTTCCGTGTTTTTAAGGGAATGAAGTTCACTTTGGGTATTTACATTGTTTCAAAGAAATTCTGGAATGTTCATTGCTGTCTCGATAAACATTTCATAGCATTTTTGGAACGCTTATTCCGATCCTTTCGCTGATAGTATAACATTATCAATATATAAGTTCTTTATTTCTAAGACAGTTTTGCTGCCATGAATTTCCAAGTGATGATCAGGTATTGCTGATAGAAAGGGGGAAGATACCACTCCAAAGGGAATTCCTTTGGAAAAAAAAAAAACATTTATTTCTTTTTTAGTTGCATGTGCTTGAGTATTCTTTAGCCAAAGAAATTCGGTGCAAATTCTTTCTGAAGGATGCAGTTCCAATTGTAGAAATACCTTTGTATCATTTTAAAACGAAGTAATACTTCCACTAAATTTGGGAGTTGTAATTGGCCTTAATATAAGATGTCATTCAGAGTTTTTATTCCTTTAAGGTGTTCTGATGCATCATAAACAATTCTTAGTTTTGTTGTTATTTTACTTGAAGTTGTAACTTCGTGATGAGATAATCGGTGAACAATACCAACTTGATCCATATCAGGCCACTACGTTGGACTTCCTCAATTACATTGAAATTTAATTGGCCTCATATTACTTCATCGTATCGTTGAAATAAATGTCCATCAATCTGAAGTCGTTTCATTAATGTTTTTAAACGATGAAGGCATTATGATCAAGAATCTCGGATCCTTTCAACGGCCAACGAACTTGATATTTTTCTCTTTGTTTGGAATAGTTCTTTTGAATTGATCCGATGTCTTTTCGTCATTGTTGGCATCGGGTTATTCCCAAATCCCTATGAATTCTAGTTTCCATAATTGACCTGTCTATTAGCCATATTTGTTGATTTGGCTTTGATCGGTACTGCATTAGAATTGTGAAATTTGTTCATCCATTCACTTCCAGCTATCATAGGTCCAAATTTTATATGGAGCAAGAAAAATCCTGATTCAAGTTTTTGAATTTATCTAGCTGGATAAATTTGAAGAAGTAATTAGCTCCAATAAGTACATTAGGCTGTTTCCAATATCGCTTTCGAGCATCTAACCGGTCTCGATTTATCATAGATAACAAATCATAATCGTCTAATTTAACTACTTGTGATTTGTTCGTCAAGTAGTCTATTACATTGACCTCAAAGATCATTTTCTTCTTTTTTCAATTCTAACTCCAATTTTTGTCTTGGTTGTGAGACATGGTTTAAGGGCCTCATTACCAAATGAGGCAATATTCAATTCTTTTTCTATTTCTTTTAGATTTAATCGATTTGTTAAATCTTTGGATATAAAGGATATTTGCGAACCAACATCAAACAGCGCCAAAGTATCTTCTAGGACTTTTGGTATCTTCGAGTAAGACTTCCTTCCCTTGTTGATTCTTTTGTTCAATTATTGAATTAGTTAAAATTGTTGAATCCATTTTTTCTTTGATTGGTCCAGCATTTTGTTCGCCATCCTCGTATTTGGTATAACGGGGCTTCTGCAGTAGAAACATAGATGTTTACTACTGTTGCAATCATTTGTCTTATGTCCTGAAGACAATTAAGGTATTATTCTCTCTCAAATGTTTCATTAATTGTCCGACAGTGGATTGTTTGACTTTCGTTATCTCAGTGGTCCTTATTACAAAAGGAACAAGGTCTTCTTGTTTATTATCTTTGAAATTTTTCTTTAAGTTAGTGGTCAACTAGGGACCATTTTTTTAAAATGCTTAATTACAGCTCACGCTGAAATTTCTTCCATACTTCTTCGGGGGAATCGTTTTGACAGGAAATTGAACAATTCAATTTTTGAATATCTGACAGTTCTTGAAAATGCATTGCAGCATTAAAACTACTCCAGAATTCTCCTCGCAATTTTGGATCATCACTGAATGTTGGCAGTGGTAGCTGTGGTAAATTTACCGTTGTACAGGTTATTTGGGATGAATCCTTTTTGCTGAATTAGTTCTTTATTTGTATCGTCTTGGCTTAGGTACTAAATCGTCAACTTGAAGTCATTTTTATACATATTTAATGTTATAATAGCTTCTCCACTGTCATGCACTGAAGCAAAAATACCTTTTCCGTCGTCGACCATTTTTTAAAATTTGTCTTCTTCTCTCTTTCTTGTTTGTGGGACCTTGATTCGCTTGATAAATTCTGACCATTCCTTGTCGGTCGATTCGAGAATGCTAATGTCAGCTCGAAGCGTTTCATTTTTTTCTCGATAATCCTTCCCTTGACCTCGTATTGTTGCGTAATTCTTCTTTCGGTAATCGTTGATCTAGAGGCATGAGGTCTATATCTTGATCTCGTCGAGTAGCTTTGCTAGTTTTTCTTCAGCTAATTGAGAACTTTTAATTATGGTGGTTGCTGTCATGAAAAAAGAGTAAGAAGATGAGGAATATTGTTTTTGTTAATTGTAGAAGCAGTTAAGTTTTAAAGGAATGACTTACAGAGTACCGGTATTGTTGTGTGTTCGAAAAGTACAGCAGTTTATCTTTTATTATCATCCGGATACTAAATACAATAGAAATGAGTGTAAACTAATTCCAATTATAATAGAAAGATGTCCAGAATAATATCAGTAGAACAATGGGAGAAATCTGCAAGTAGTAATTAGTGAACTGGGAGAAATCTGCAAGTAGTAATTAGTGAACTGGGAGAAAAAATGAAGATTTTGTTGTGTGAAGCTGAGCGCAGAAATGAATGATAGAATTTCTTATGGTTTTATATAAAAAAATGTGTGAAAAGGAACAATCATTACAAATTGACAGTATTCTCATAGCTGTAAGAGAAATTTACACATAAGAAGAGTTTTCTTTATATAAAAAATTGCATAGAAATTGTTTTATCAGATGTACAGCATTCTCACGGCTACATCTAAGATTTGCATATGGGATAAAACTTTTACAAATTAGTTACTAGATGTGCGCAAATCTCAACATCGGACAAAGCGCTTTTAGATGATTTGAAGATTAGATAGCTAACTCATGATTTTAAGCATGAGAAAAAAAATGTAAATGCAAATTGTTTGAATTAATAATTTTACGACACA